AATTGTCAAGGACGCGCATATATGCGTGTAATTGAAGGCCTCATACGCCGAGGAAGACCGTCCTGTCCATCACAGCACACATCGTTGACCTGGGCTAAGCCTAGCTGAGTAGCATGCTGTACCAAAGGTCAACGATCAGGGGCAACGAAGAAGTGCGAGACGCTTGCAGTATTGAGAAAGTCATGGAAGTATTGCACGAGTTCCGATTTGCATAGAGCGCTGGGGGATAGCCTCTCGCGGTCAACACTGCCTCGCAGTGCGAGAACGACGCCAGAGGGGGCCCGGACATCGACGCCGTCGGGGAGCGCAGCTTTGCGGGCAAAGACGCGTGCGGAGGGCTCGCCCGCAGTCAGATAGTGCGTTGCGCTGAGCTGGAGGGCGTTGTGGTCGGAGGAGGCGATGGCGCGGGTCGAGCACGAGACGGTGGGCATCGCTGCCGTCGACGTCGAGAGCAAGCCGCGTTGGGTCGCGTCGCGTCGCGGTCGCGCGTGACTTGGTGATGGTGCGTTATCGGTGTCACAAAGCCGTGCCGTCACGCCCACAGCATCGCAGCGGTCGACTGATTTCAGATTTCGAGGCTGGGCCAGCATTGGTTGCTCCCAGCAGCCACCATCGCCGCCGCCGACGCCGACGCCAGCGCCCCCGCGGCCCACACTATATCTGCCCATCGGCCATGGTGCGCACAGGTCGCGCCCCCCACGCTCGCCGCTGACGCTCGAAACGAACACAGGCGGAGAACATCGACCAGAAGATCCAGGAGGTCTACAAGCACATTCAGAAGGAGCGCAAGATCCTCGAGGCCTCACAGCTCCTTCGCCGCGCCACACAGAATCAGGATGTGCTCAGTCGCAATGAGGCCAAGATCAGGGAGACCGAGCGTTCCCTCTCATACTTCGAAGAGACGCTACGCGAACTCCAGGCGCGCAAGGCCGAGCTTGCAAACGGCAGGGATCGCCCGCGATCAGATGGCGCGCCCCTACCACAGGTATGTGCTCACCCGTTACCCTCGCGCAGCCCTTTCATTGCGCGCTATCTCAGGTGCCTCCCAAAGACCCGCGCGCACGGGGTTCGTCGGACATGGCAACCAGTCCCCAAGACGGAACCCCGCGCACCAACTACACCCAGCTCGACCTCATCAAGGCGGACACACCCCTCACGCCCGCGAAGATCTCCCGTATGCTCCATCAGCTTGAATTCAAACTCCAGGTCGAGATGCAGTACAAGAAGGGCATTGACAAAATGGCCAAGCTTTACCAGGCCGACGGCGATAAGAAGTCTCGATTAGATGCAGAACACAAGAAGGTCGAGAACGAGCGCAAGATTCAGCTGCTCCAGGCGGCTTTGAAGCGCTACAAGAACTTGCATGTCATAGAGGACACCGGGGAAGAGGATCAAGGTGCGTGGCGCAGTTTATATCACAACTCGTGGGTACTTACTCGCGCTCACAGGCCCTGACGGTGAACGGAAGGACAACCTGCGCTCGAAGCCCTTGTCAGGAACCCTGTACATCTCGCTGAAGGGAGCCCGCGAGCTCGACCACGCACCTATTGTCCGCTCCCGCTCCGCCTCCAAGCAAATCTCGGAAACCATCGTCAGCATGAAGGTCGAAGGGACGCAACTCGCTCGCTCACATCCCTCGCGCACGGATCGCTGGAACGAGGACTTCGAAATCACCGTCGACAAGGCCAACGAAGTCGAGATAGCGGTCTACGACCAACAAGTGGGGCAACCTATCGTCCCCATCGGTTTGTTGTGGATCCGGATAAGCGATTTGGTGGAAGCGGTTCGACGGCAGAAGGTGCTCATGGAGAGCGGTCAGGGCGGCTGGGTCACCGCCAACGCCATGGGCGACGCTTCTGCGGCACCTGGGATGTCCCAGTCGGATGCGCCATTATTTCCTGCGCAAGGAGGCGCCCCCGGTGGTGCGATGGGTTTCGGCGCATCTACTGCGGACGGTATCGAGGCATGGTTCGCCATGGAGCCTGCTGGAGCCATCGCACTTCGCTTGAACTTTGGTGAGTGATCATACGCAGAGAATATGGCCTCAAACTAAACGATCTGCAGTCAAAGAAAATGTTCGCAAGCGGGCCTTGGATGCTCCTCTTGGTGGACTCGGCCGTCAAGGTGCTGTTCGCAAGCGCAAGGGCGAAGTACACGAGATGAATGGCCACAAATTCGTCCAGCGGCAGTTCTACCAGCTTATGCTGTGCGCGTTCTGCAGCGACTTTTTGTTCAACGCTGCCGGCTATCAGTGCGAAGACTGTCGCTACACCTGTCACAAGAAATGCTACGAGAACGTCGTCACCAAATGTATATCCAAGTCCAACACTGGCGTAAGTCTATATAGCTCGGGACACCTTCTTCTTCGCTCACGTTTATTCTAGGACGACGAGGAGAAAATTAACCACCGCATTCCCCATCGCTTTGAACCCCTCACCAACATCGGCGCGAACTGGTGTTGCCACTGCGGCTACATGCTCCCCCTCGGCCGCAAGAATGCCCGCAAGTGCTCTGAATGCGACATCACCTGCCACGCCAATTGCACGCATCTCGTGCCCGACTTCTGCGGCATGTCGATGGAGACGGCAAACAGGCTCCTCCGCGACATGCGGCTCATCAACCAGCAGAAGGGCTCGGCTCGCACGCGGACTCATGTGCCCGTATCGTCTGTTGAGGAGAAGCTGAGCGGGCAGATGGAGCGCGCGCGCTTGAGTCCAACGCAGCCGACGGACCCATACCGGCAACAACAGCAGCCCGCGGACGCGCGATATAGTGGGGGGATGCCGCCAGGGCAGACGTACCCGCAGCCTGCACCAGGACGACCTGCGTCCGGCCGCGTGCCACCACCACAGTATGCCCAGGAGACACCGAGTCGTCCATCCTCTCAGTACGAGCAGGCTGCTCCTGGCGAGCCGTACCAGCAGTATCCCGTGGGTGTGCTCGGCATTCACTTTTTCTACATAGCTCATGATACAATCAGGGACAGCGAACCCCGACATCTACGTCGCCTGTTCAGGCTAAGACCCCGCTACCCGTTCCCGGTCAGCAGCGTCCGTTTGCACCGCCCGGCCCACCCCCGCCACTGGCACAACCGGCTTCACCGCCCCAGGGGGCGGTGGGCCGCCCGCTGCCGCCACAACAGCAGCAGATGCCGGTCCGCCAGGCAACACGAAAGCGAAAAGTCGGCCTCGACGACTTCAACTTCCTCGCCGTTCTCGGAAAGGGCAACTTCGGGAAGGTCATGCTTGCAGAGGAAAAGAAGACGAACGGCCTGTACGCGATTAAGGTGTTGAAGAAGGAGTTCATCATTGATAATGATGAAGTGGAGAGGTCAGTACCCGCTTTCGTGGCAACAAGTTGCCTGCTAAGATGAGGATTACAGCACTCGGTCGGAGAAGCGTGTGTTCTTGGCGGCAGCGCGCGAGCGGCACCCCTTCTTGCTCGGCTTGCACTCCTGTTTCCAGACGGAGACGCGCGTGTACTTCGTTATGGAGTACGTGAGCGGAGGTGATCTCATGTTGCACATCCAACGCAAGCAGTTCTCCCTGCGGCAGGCGAAGTTCTATGCGGCTGAGGTGCTGCTGGCGCTGGAATATTTCCACGCAAATGGCATCATCTACCGGTATGTCGAACCCGCCCTAAGCTAAGGGAGGCACTCACAAGGATTTCAGTGACTTGAAACTGGACAACATTCTTCTCACGCTCGATGGGCACGTCAAGGTGGCCGACTACGGCCTGTGCAAGGAGGAGATGTGGTACGGCAACACGACAAGCACGTTTTGTGGCACTCCGGAATTTATGGCGCCCGAGGTGCGTCTGTTGTCTTACTTTCCTTACCCTGTCACTCACCATTCCCTTGTTAGATCCTCCTCGAGCAGCGCTATGGCCGCGCGGTCGACTGGTGGGCCTTTGGTGTGCTTACCTACGAGATGTTGCTCGGCCAGTCGCCCTTCCGCGGCGACGATGAGGACGAGATCTTCGACGCTATTTTGGAAGACGAGCCGCTATACCCAATCACCATGCCGCGTGACGCTGTAGCAATTTTGCAAAAGCTGCTCGAGCGGAACCCGGAGCGGCGGCTGGGTGCTGGGAAGGAGGACGCGGAGGAGATCAAGCGCCAGCCGTTTTTCAAGGATGTGAGCTTCGACGACGTGCTGAACAAGCGGATACCACCGCCGTACTTCCCGACGATTGTGAGTGACTTGTGCTTAATTTGAGCGCGATGACTTACACGTATCTTCTCAACAGAAAGGCAGCGCTGACACGAGCAACTTCGATGAGGAGTTCACGCGAGAGCAGCCGACACTCACGCCTGTCCATGGGCAGCTTTCGGCGAAGGACCAGCAGGAGTTTGAGGGCTTCAGTTGGGTGAGTCATATGCTTTCTCCTCTATTTTGTGTCCTCCAACTGAGATGGACCCTCAGGTTGCAACATGGGCGGACATCTGATCTGCGAGTGCACCACGCTTCCGGAGCGTTCCCTCGCGAAGGGCCGCTTTCGTTACGTATTGACGAACCGAATGACTATGTACATGCCTTCTGTACCATAACTGTAACGCGCGTGTTACTGCAACCATCGCACCGTGCGGACATATAACCCACGGAAAGGGCGTTTAGAGCGCAACAAATCCCTGATGGAGTCCAGGATAGTCGTCGCCTCGCTGGAAGAGATGTCAGCACGCAGACGCTTAGCAAGCCCACTGAGCTCTTCATCGGCGTCTGAAGAAGCCATTGGAAGCAGGAAGCAAGAAGCGAGATGTGGCGGCATTGTGGCCAGGCGACATCATTATGTCACGGCGACAGTCGAGTTCAACAGTCACGGTCACGCGGAGCAAGGTGAGTCTGAAATCTGAACAGTGAATCGTTTGAGGTTTCTCAGAACAGTTGGGTTATCTCCAGCAGCCTGCAGATAGCATGACTTGAACTCCAGGTAATGTTGAGTCGTTGAGACCAGGCACCGTCTTATTATGGTTATAATCTTTACTGACGCTGAATTGTATGGTCGGTATCGATTAGGGGTTAAATCACCTCGTTGTGGCGCTTGTGTACACCCATTCGTTCCGAGGAGCCGCAGGTTCGATTCCTGCTACCGACAAGTCGAAAGACTTCCGCCTTTCTTTTGCTTTTTGCTCTGAAGACGTGCAGAAGAGGTCGAGGAGGCGACCCGAAGTTCAACATGCCAATCATACTCGGACAAAGCGTAATCACGTGATTGGAAGGTTAAGGCCAAAAACCTCCGGGCTTTATTGCGTGCATATTCAGACGCACATCCAAGGTGATAGATACACGAATTGCTCATCCTATGACCGTACTCAGAAGATGGGTATAAAGTCCTGCATCCTGTCCCTCGCATCCTGTGCGATGCACTCTGCAATCCACGTTATATTCCTGATCTCCTGCTCCTTCAGTTTCAAGTAGGCGTAGAACACACCATACTGAAACTGCTGGAGGAAGGCCTGCTTGTTGAGGTGCACTTCTGTCGTGAAGAAACGGTCCTCGAGTTGTGATGCTGCGCCGAGATCGTCACCGCCATTAGCCGTTGCCGACGACGACTCCTGGAAGAACGAGCGGTACTCAGAGACACTCTCGCACGCAGCGCGGACCTGGTCGATGTCGTCGGCCTTAGCGAGCTGGTTGTTGCCCTCGGGGAAGAGGCGGCCGATCGCAGGGAAGAGCTTCGCGCGCTGCTCCTTCGTGAGCTCGGTGTTGAAGGAGTTGATGGTGATGTTGACGGTGCGGCGGTCGGCTTCGAAGGCGAGGATGTTGTGCATAACCTCGGAGGTGGGCGCCTCGAGACCGGAGCAGAAGTGGAAGAAGTCCTCGAGGTAGGCTTTGTATACCGTGTTGCGGATGATCTCAATGTTAAGGTCGTCCATGTCGGCGGCCGAAAGACAGTCACGGAAGTAGGGAGCTGAAGTAAAAGTCAGTATATGCGAGGGTTGCCATACGCAGCACGCACCGAGGGGGGTCTCGACCAGAACACTCTGATACAGCTCCTCTACGTTGGTGGCAACGCAGAGCGCCGGCATGGTGTCAAACACGCCGAGAGGGTGGCACCGCTCCAGAAGCTCATGCGTATCGCGCTCGTGCAGGGTACCCGTGATGAGCAGCACGACGTTGTCAATCATGTACGCGTACCTGCCGGTGTCATGTAAGAGAGCGTGCGATGGGACCTACGCTCGCCACGCACGTAATATAGTCCAAGAACTTCGCAAGCGGCTCAACAGCATTGCTGCGCAGGTAGTTGAATTGGTCGACGAGGATCTGCGTCGCCTTGTCCGCGATTGTAGACGTGGAGAGGGGGAGCGGCTCGTTCGCGAGGAAGTTGCCGTAGTCCGTCGCGGACAGCTGTGTGCGAAAGTCTGAGGCTCTATTCAGTGCATGTAGCTGATAGCAGGACATATGAGCCGCACCTTCAAGCGTGTCGCACTGCGTCAGGTTGGCATAATGGCTCTGCGTGAGGATGCCGGCCTTGAACCCCCTCACAATGCCCTCAAGAAAGCCGTTATCAACCTGGGCGCCGTAAAGTCAATACGCATAACAGTACAGTGGTCTCCGGTAATTCATACTGACATTGAAGAAGAGAGCCTCCATATTGTGTGCAACGACGAGGACGACAATGACCACAGTGCACTGGTTCAAGAAGGGTGCACCTTTCCCACGCCTCCCCGCGCTTGGGTCGCGGGCCGGCGCTTCCACACATCAAATCGAACTTGCGTCGGACTGTCTGCACTCTTGACCACCTCGCACTAAGACGATTCCAAGATACAACATTGATGAGCCAGCTCCGTACACCAGGTACCCATACATACATAACGAACAAAACGATAAAAATACAGTGACATGGTCAGACAAAAAAAGCATGTCGACAGCAAAAGCGAGAGGCCGTGGCTAGCACGAGCCGAAAGGTATGATATCCTGCCAATCTAGTGGTCAGGAGACTGTGTCGTGACACGGCGCAGCCGCAAGCTCATGACGGGTATCGTCTCGTCGTGATCGAGCATGCGCATGCGCGTGCCGGAAAGGTGAAGGGAGAAAAGTGAAGGGAGAAGGAAGTAGGCGGGGGAGGTCCAGAAAGAAGATCGCCCCGCCTATGCCGCGGTCGCACCGACGACAAACGCGTTGTAGTTGTAGGTCTTTGGGCTGCCTTCGAACGTGAACTCTGGGTTGAGCTCCACCGTGTTGGTGCCGTCGCGCGCGATCGAGCCCGCCATGCCCTCGCCCGCGGACAGCGGGACCGCGAGCTTCGTCAAACCCGCGGGCACGTCAAACGTCTGGCCGTTGAGCGTCACCGTGGCCGGTGCGCTCGTCATCGCCACCGCCCACACCGCGTCCTCCGTGAGCTCGAAGTTCGTCGGCTTCCCAACGGCGTCCGAGGCCGTGGCGCTGGCGACGTGCGGGCGCGCCCACATGATGAGCTTGTCCTTCTCAATGGCGGGGAAGGAGCCGGTCTTGAAGGCGGTCGCGTAGTACTGCGTCATGTCGAGCCAGGCGGTGTGGTTGAAGCCGTCGACCCAGGCGTTGCTCTTCGGCTGGTCGCCCTTGATGGGGCCGATGTAGTGCGACTCGCCATAGTCGTTCCACGTCAAAAGCTGGACAATGTCGAAGGAGTCGCGGGAAGAGATCAGGTTCTCCCAGCGGTTTGAGTACAGGTGCTGGTCCGCGAGGTAGATGAACTAGTCGATCTTGTCAGCACTGCGTATTAGCGATCGTATGGCTCTACTCACGTTCTTGTTGAAGGTGTCGGCGCCGTAGTGGGTGAAGAACCAGGGCGAGGCGGATGCCATGTAGGCCCGCTTCTGACCATCACGCTTCGCGTTGCCGCCAGTGAGCGACGACAGGCTCTGAAGGTGCTTCTCGTCCGTGTCCGTAGAGCCAAGGAGCGGGCCAAGGCCGTTGGACAAGCCGCCAAGGAGGCTAGTGAAGCTCGTCCCGTCAAGAGTAACGTTGCCGCTAACGGACGCAGCAAGGTTCGATACCGACTTGGCGCTGGAAAGCAGCGACTTGGCTGACTGTGTAGTCACGTCAATGGGCCAAGCGGAGTTCCACTGCGAGGAAAATTAATTGGACTTGCGTTATACGTCGAAATAGAACTCACGTTAAAGTCGCCATCCATGATGTCTGCGAACTGTGAGAATTGCGCCGGATCTACGAAGAACGAGGGGACGAAGTAGATCTTGCCCGCGAGGTCGGCGTGCTGGTAGAACTGCGACTTCCACCCGTCGGCGACGCTGCCCTGCCCGAAGTTGCACTTCTCGCCGGAGAACGTGGACACGAAGACGCGGTTGTCGTACATCAGTTGGTTGGGGTGGTCGGCGAACTGGTTGACGATGGCTCGGAGCTTAGCGGCGTTGTCGGCAGAGCGCAAGGCCAGACGCTGGAGATGAATTAGAGTAAGTCGCGACATGGAGAAGTATGTTACGCACGTCATGTCAAGGGAAAGGAACAGCTTGAAGTTGGTCCCTGACTCCTGCGCGGCCTGGTATCTGTGGCCTTGTCAGTTGCGTTGCATGTAGATTTCGACGCGACACTCACGCATCCGCAACGCGTGCTGGCTGCCACTCGTCCGTCCCCATGTTCAGGGCAAAGCCGTCGATGCCAGAAGCAGAGGCCATCGAGACATCCTCGGCCCAGTTCTCCAGCGTGTACGGGTAGACGTTGCTGTGATCAGGTCAGTCAGGATGCATCGACTAGAAACTGGTTACACACCCGATCATGTGATGAGCAACGACTAGCTTGTCTCCAGTGTTTCCTGAAGCTGTGGACGACGCGGATGGGGCAGCCGAAGCCGCGGAGCTGCTGGCGGATCCCGACGACGCTAGCGTAGCAACGGATGAAGCGGAACTGGCAGCGGAGCTTGAGGGGACCGAGGACGGATTGACGGCAGATGAGACAGGAATTGAAGCGGTTGACGACGCGGGCGCGGATGCGGCAGACGACGAGGGTACAGACGCGGCGGACGACGCGTCCGTGGCCGAGGGAAGTGAGACCGAGGCAGCCCGAACAGCGGTCGCGGTCGGCACAGAGCACGCCGTGCGTTTCTGGTGGTGCATGCGGCGGTTATGAGGGGTGGGCGCAGCGTGAACGATGGAGAGGAGCGTGAGGGCAAGGATGAAGAGGAAGGACTGCATGGTGAAGATAACGCAACGCGTTGGAATCCTCGTAAAAGAACGTCAAAAAGAAGGGAATGAGCGAGGCGCTGCCTACGACACGATGGAGGAAGGAGGGAAGGAGGGACCGGGAAGTCAACCAGCCGGGTTTTATAGACCGTGGAGCTGGTAGATGGTGCCTTGCGACGGACGCCCCGAACAATGAATCGCTCCAAGTCACGTGATAGTCACTTGTTGTTCACCTTTTTCGGACAATAGCGCCAGACCGGCCATTGTGCGGCAAGAGAAGTTAAACTCTCGATTTTTATTTACTTGACCTTGTAAGTAAGCTGTTCAGAGCACAAACGCAGAAGGGAGGCAGCGCAGCCAACTGCAGAGCGCTGAACGCTTGAGGACATGGCGAATCTAGTAGGCTGTGTTCGCTGGCAGGCATGCCATCACGATGCACGCGCTCCGCCGCGCATCCTTTCCATAGCTAGCCACAGCTGGGCGCACCAAGATCACTGCATCCTCCCGGGGCCTCTATATAGTCCTATGGCGGAATGACAGGGCCAACGTCCAACTCCCTTTCCGTCTCAGATATCGTGTCGTGCGAGGCCGCGTTCGTCATGATCAGTTGCTATACTCTTCTCAAAACGACCTGATACTAGACCGTGCACCCTGTCCCCGGGCATCTGAGCTGCAGCTCCCGCCGTATGATTGAACGATGGCGCATCGCGCGCAAGAAGGCGCAAGAATTTGGCCCTTGCCCACAACTGAGGCAGCACGCCAGCGGTGAGCTTTTGAGTATTGAAGTTCGTGGATGGACAGGATGGTACAGTCGCACCGTCGAAGGCTGAGATATCGAGCGCTGCTTGAGCAGTGATGTAGGCGAGACAAAAGCGTCTTATGCACCCGGGAGAGTTGAAGTTCCCGATTGGCGCAAGAGTTCGGAAAACGCTAGACCGTTGGGATCCGGCAGATTACACGTTGTTCAGAGGAGCAT